CTGACGACAGGAGAGACATCTCTTGAATCTCAGGGAGCTCAACATTCCAGAGCAAAACGAATGACAAGGTAACCCTTAGAAGGGGAAATCTATATAACTATCTCTATGAATATAAAGTTGTGTGTGGTGGGTTGCTGGTTTTTTTGGGAGGGGTTAGAAAAAACAAGGGTAACAATTGTTCCAACAACCATAACTCTAAGGTAAGTAACAATAAGAGATTGAGAAAAAGCTAAATATTAGCGAACAAGTCCATAGATTCTGTCTTGGGCCAAAGGTAGATGAGAAGGGACAGAGTGGTTTGCCTTCTGCAGACCCATATAGCCTCAGCACAGTGCCCAGAAAGGTGTGGGATATATGACTAGGCCATACAGGGACTGCTACCAAAAATCTCTGATCAAAGGCACAGGCACAGCTGAAGCTGAGCATCCACAGGGACACTATTTGAAAAAGAATATTATATTCAGGTTTCTATTATTAGTCCTCTTCTATACTAGGTACTTTCAATCTAGGAAAATCATTTTAAACAACTTTAAAATGTTTGTAATTTCTCCTCCAACCTTACAGGTGCATAAATAAAACTGACACTTGAAAATATTATAACCCTCTTTTGAAGGAGTTACTTTTGAGTCTGAAGAAATAAGGAACAAATAAAACTTCAATCTTTCTATTTCATTTCAAAACAATTGTAGGCTCATCATCTACCAAATATATTTCACAATCTGTTTGTATGAGGCAGCTACTCCCTAAGGCGAAATGAAAAGAAAGTGTAAAAAGTTTTCATTCTCATTTGTTGGGCATTAACTAAAATGGACCAATGGCCTCTTCAGTTGGAACAGCTTACGTACAACCAATCTCAGTTTCTAATTAGGGTTCTTGTTTGTGGAATTTATTTTCAGATTAAATCTTAAAAAATCCTATTATGAAATTTTATTACACTGAGATTTTATCTTTATTGGTTAATCCTAAACTATAGAAACAACTCACAACAATGCAGGAAACACCAAACCTATTTAAAATTTTTTTTATACCAAATTATTATAAAGAGCAGTATGTATTGACATTTAGGTGCTTAAAAGGATACATACATTGTGGTATCTGAAGTTGCTTGTTAAATACTTAAAGTACAACCTGCACAACTTAAAAGTAAAAAAGCAGCTGTAGCAAAAAGTGTTTAATACTGCCAGACAGGCAAGCTAAAGGGTCGCTGTTCAAGGGTTACAAATCAAGTTTTAAAAACGTATGTTTAGTATACATCTTTATTTCAGTTAAATCTCTTTAGGCTGTAGCAATCTGTTGATTGACCTAATATTTGAGCACATTTTAAAAGAGAAGTGACTCATTAAGATTAATCCATTATATTAAATCACGCCAATATTTTCTAATATTTGACTTTAAAATTTTGAACATAAGCATCCGGAGTTCACTGTTACATTTTCATCAAGCTGTTCCAATACACCCATTTTTTGTAAAGTGGATATGTTCTCCCCCCCCCCCACAGAATTCTTAGTCAAGAATGGCTGAACCATGTTTTCATTAAGCTCAAAAAAAAAAAAAAACCATAAACCAACCAACTATACACTCACATTTGGAGAAAGGCACAGAATTTCTCATTTCTGCAGAATTTCAGTTTAGCAAGCAAAAGTTTTTGAAAGTGAGTCAGAAGAGGGGTTTAAAATGAAAACACTTCAACAATCTAAACTATAGTTGTTGATACAATTGGAGTGCCAATATAGAGTGCTTTCATCCTGCCATTAAAATTCCATTATGTTACTCCTGGGGAAATTCTGTGACAAAAGATTAAAAAGTCTGCGCATAATATTTTAAAATTCTGCAAAGTTCTGCATATTTTATTTGTCAAAACAACACAATATAATCACACCAGTTACAATTATTTTGGTAAATTATTTCAAAATGCCTGTCAGTAAGTATGTCTGTAACTATACAGACAACAAAAAAGATTCCTCCAGGAGTAGAGTTAAAGAAACCCTTATGACAACTCAGTTCCTCTTTCTCTGTTATGTTTTCATTGGGTGTCTCAGAATGGGTGTGTCACACTTGCCTGCTGGGCACCATCTTGGGGCAAAACTCTGCCACTCCAGCCTCAGACACACACACACACACACACACACACACCCCCTCTCCCCCAGAGCAGAGCCTACTGCGGAGCACTCTGCAGCCCAGACACCCACATCCCTCCCTCCCCAGAACCCAGCTGTGGGGTGCCCCTCCCAGCCCAGACACCCTCTACCCCCAAAGCACAGCTACCCACAGCCCCTACTGCCCAGAGCCCAGGGATCCAGAGAGAGAAACAGCCTGATGCTGGGTGCCAGGGTTGTACAGAGTTTCCTGCACACCACATTCTTCCTTCAGGACATGCTGGGAACTGCAGCTGCCTGGAAACCTCCAGCTCCCCCTCTCCTTCTCCCCAGCAGTGTCCTGTATTTGCGAGCTGGAGAGTCAGACTCTGATGGGTCCAGTGGCCCCTAGCGATGACCAGCAGCTCTGCAGTACCAATTCTGCCAGGAAAAATGAAATTCTGTGCAGAACATTAATTCTACACAAATTCTGCATTGCTCAATGGTGCAGAATTCCCCCAGGAGTACTATGTAGTACTTGCCAATTAATTTAAATTATTCACTGTTAAATATTACGAAGTTTTAAAATGTATGATTCGAGACATCATCCCAAAAGCAGGATTATTTTGTGTTTTCTTTCCCATCCACCAATTAATGGGGCCAACTTTTTCAGAAACAGAAGCCTAAAAAGCCTTACGTCCATACTTAGGCAATTGTCCTGATTTTTAGACATGCTGGGCACACACATAGCTCCCACTGAAGTCATTTTAAAATGGGGGATTTTTTTAGTTGCAAATACTTCATTAATGTGTAACATTATGTCTTCTAAGCTGGAATTTCTAGTATTTAAAACTAGAAGATTACACAAGACTTTTATAGTTGTACAGTTTATCTGTTTTATAGTGCAATGAGCTATTAAATTTCTGACTCAATTTAGATTAGTGAGACATTATTCAAATAGTCTTCTATAGGAGCTTGATCCTTCACCCATTGACTTCAGTGGTGCAGGATCAGTACCTAGTTGTGTAGAACATCAAAAATTCAAAATCTAAGATATTTAAAAAATCAAAATTACACATTAAAAAAATTCTACATCACCAGAATGGGGAAGTAAGAAGAGAGGAGAAAGATAAATGACTGGCTGATTTATATCCAATGTCAATTCTAGCAGAGAATTTGTCAGTCTTATCAATCAGCTATGTTACCTCTATAAATAACTACTTTGGATGTCACAATGGGGTTTTCATAAAAGAAAAAGAGAGAAGAAATGTGAGAAGGGGAGAAAGGGACAAAGAGAAGAACAAAGGAAGTGACAAAGCAACAATGATCATGATCCCCCCCAAGTCAGGCTACCAGCGAGTGATATATTAGCAAATAATAGTACAGTATAAACAGTGTTCTTGATGCATTGAGGGAAATTTTCACTTTAATAGTTTTTTTATATAATCATAATTTAAATGACAATATAAAATTACACAAAACTCTTCTGATAAAGAGTTCTTTATGAAAAGAGCACAGCTTTAAAAGTAAAGACTACTTTATAACTAATTATGGGGCTCACTTTTAAGTAAGAGCACAAACTGAAAGAAACAGTCACATATATTCTCAGCTCTTTTTAAAAAAGACCAAAAAACTCCTGCATTTTTATCCATGCAGGCTGAAATCTGCACTGCGTGAACCATCCTGAATCAGAGTGGGGGAAGGCTCTGCCCTCATGATTCAGATTGCAGGATTGGGGCGTTAACTCATTTATAGAATCTACTAAGGACTTAAAATTAGACATATTTTTAAGCACGTCAAGACCCAAGGTCAGGGTTATGTGTTATTTGCACAGGAGATGACGACCTCACAAACCCCTGAAACAAAGTACAAGTTGCTTCCTACTCCTGATTAAGACCCTGAAATTGGATGGCAAAGGATAATAATTTTTTCTTTTGTTTTTCATGTACTTCATTTTCTAAATATATTTATAATTTTAAGTCAACCTAAATGTGATTTTGCTAGGGTGCAATGTGCAAAAAGCCAGTACAATTTTAGTCCCACTTAAGGCATCATAAAATGGTTTTAGGAGTATTGAAATGGTACATAGATCTCTGCTGGGTTCTCTGCTTTGGGGGGAATTTCACCCTGGACTGTTTATGGCTTAATTCTGCTGCCACCAAACACCAGGAGCAGGAGAAAGCCTTTGGGATTTAAAAAAAGTTTCAGGTCATGTTTATATCATCTTGATTTTACATAGCATTTTTCATCCCCGTACATCTCAAATCACTTTACAGAGAACATCAGTATCATTATCCCCAATTACAAATCAGGAACTGAGGTACAATGAGGGGAAGTGACTTGGCCAAGGCCACCCAGCAGTGCAGTAGCAGAGCTGGAGAATGAATCTGAATTGTCTCCTGAATGCCAATCCACTGCTCTAATCACTAGATAACCCTGCCTTCCCCCATTTGTAAAATATACCTCCAAAAGCTTTCCTTATTTTCTTTTCCATTTGGCAACCACTGAATTTGCTTCATGTGTTTCCAATGGATCTTAAAATAAAAAATGCATTTTTGGGTCTTTATTAGCGTACCATAGGTGTAAAACACTCAGACCCTGATAATGAGTGGGATACAATAACCTGAATATTATTATAGATGATGTACGAAGAATTTGGCGAACAGTATTTCCCTGCTACAACATACCCAAGATAAATACAAAAAAATATTTTTGTAATCTAATGAGGCCTAAAAAATATTTGTCAAGACTAAATGATCTTAAATTAGAATTCAGAGGACATTATCCATCAGATGATAATTTAAAGGAAAATCAAATTTTATTCAAAGCTAGTTTCCTAGAAATTTTTCTTGTGTTTTCTTTACAAAATGAAATTAAATTAAAAGACTTGAAATCTGTGTTTTGAGTAAAAAGTGTGCTACGTACCTGTTGTATGTTTCTTTGTGACTGTAAACTGGACTGCAGCCTTCTCAACAGAGGAACACCATTCCTAGACAGTCTTTTAAGTAACCAGTAACTGTGTACTCTTTCAACAAACTGCTTCTTCCGTTGAATGGCCACCTGATTCATAATTTTATTTAATCTAAAAACGTGGAAAAACTGAAAGTTTAATTTTTGCAGCAAAGCATCAAACATGTTTTTGGTTATGGAAATTAAATATCAAAATTTTCATTTCTATCAAGATATTTTGTGTACTACAACAATATTGCACTAACATTTATTATAAAATCTCTTTGGACTATATTGCTCTTGGTGCAATTTTATCTGATTGCTAAAATAAATAAAACCTTTAACAGCAACTACTCAACATTTTAGTTTCTATCAAATTACAAATTATGATACTAATATATGAAGATGTGTAAATTTTCATGAGTTACTAACCCAGGCATAAAAAATGCTCTCAGATTAGATTTGACAGTAAAATCTCAGCAGTAGAATTTTTTTTTTTAAAATGTTGACACTTAATCCTAAACCCCTGTAATTAATTTTCAGGGCCATAAAGCCCTATACAAATTTTTGGATGAATGTTTTGTGCGTTCATTACTTACTATTTTATGTTTAGTTTATTTTTTAAAAAAGAAGATGTATTTTTAGCTTTTTCTAAACATTTAAAATGTACCTTAGATATTAAAATATGTCAAAAAAACCCTCCTCTAGATTTGTTTTTTCTTAAGTGCCTAGAAGAGAGACTTTTCCGAAGAAAAAAGCAATATGAAAATTAAAACATCAGAACACTGATGCCATAGTTGTGCACACACAGCCTCAATGGAACGTATGTAAACAGGAGCTGCAAGACCGGGTCATCAAATAGCAATTATGGGACACTTTCTAAAGGTAAAAAAAAAAATATTTTAAAAGATTCTTAAAAGAGAACATGATCTATTTCGTTCAGTTCAGTAGTCTTAAACTAAAAAAGTTATTCATTTCTTAGTGGATAATCCATGTCATGTATTTACAAAAAAGTTTATAAATGTAAAAACAGGTTACTCACCTTCTGCTCCACTTCAGGTACGCATGTGCCTCTCGAGCCCTTGATCAGAGATTTTCCATTAGCAGTGTCTGTTTGGCCTGCACATGCGCTCTAGACAACCCTGTGCCACAAGAGTATCTAGGGCTGTGTGGGCGAACCGCCCTCAGTTCCTTCTCTAGTCAAACATCCAGCAAGAACAGTCCAAAGCAGAGGGGAAGGAGGGTGAGTAGTGGAGCACTGACAGGGACACACACCTCAAAGAACCACAGTTACTGCACAAGGTGAGAAACCTTTTCTTCTTCTATGAGTAGCGTCCCTGTGGGTGCTCCACTTCAGGTGACTCCCCAACAGCATCCTCACATGGAATCAGAATCAAGACCAGGACTGAAGATCATACAACAGAACCAAGTTCCGCACCAGCTCTGATGGACCAACGCACAATTTAGAAAATGTATGTACTGAAGCCCATGTAGCAGCGCTGCATATCTCAGACACTGAAATGTTTCTGAGTAGCACCGTGAAAGTTGCTTGTGATCTGGTAGCGTCCTATAATCATTTGCAGAGGCAAAACACCAGCTGCATTGTAGAAAGCAGTAATACACCCACAGATCCATCTCAACAGTCCTCTGAAGAGATTGTGGACCTCTCTGAACTTTCTGCATTGGAGACAGAGTCTAGGTGATTTCCAAAATTGTTTGGTCCTATCCAGATAAAAGGCCGATGCCCATGGTACATCTAACATATGAAGAAAAGTCCCCTGCGAGATTTATGTGGTTTAGGGAAAAAATACAGGTAGATGAATCGAATAGGATGCTCCCAACCTAACAGTGATGTGTCCATTGTCACAATTATTGTTGGAACTGGGCAGATGAAAAAGACACCTGCACAGACTTTGTGCTGATCTTTCCACCAATCCAGGGAGTTCCCCACCTGGCAGGGAACTGTGACCTGTTTATCCAACTTAACTCTGGTTGAGGAATAGGACTTCATGAACCAGCCTTGAAAGTAGCCAAGGTGTAATCCTGCATGCTTGGTCATGAAGGTGCAAGCTGCCACATGACCCAGGAGCTGTAAGCCATTCCTTACTATAGTACTAGGGCTTCCCTGAATTGTCCAAACCAGATTCAAAGTTGTTAATCTGTCTGTGAGAAGGAAGTCCCTGGCTGCCAAAAAATCCAAATATGTCCCAAGGAATTGTATTCTCTGTACCGGGACTAACTTGGACTTCTTTACGTTTAGTTGGAGACCCAACTCCTGGAAGAGGGAGAGACCTGGGTGTAAGTTAGTATGGCTTCATAAAATTGGCCCTTATGTAACCAGTTGTCGAGATATGGGAAAACTAAAATTGCTTCTTACAAAGATAAGCAGCCAATCCTGCTAAACCCTTCGTGAACACCCTTGGGGCTGGAAAGAGATCTGGACAGGACCAAACAATTTTGAAACCACCTAGTCTCTTTGTCGCCAACGTAGGAAGATCAAAGGGGTCCACAATCTCTTCAAGGGACTGCTGAGATGGACCTCTGGTGTGTTACTGCTTGCTACAATGAAGCTCGTGTTTTGCCTCCCCAAAGGATAATAGCACACTATACCAGATCGTGAGTACTCAGTAATGAAAATGATCCCAGCCCATGGTGAAGCACAGGTATCTGATGTGTGCCAGAACCACCATCTGGAACTTTTCAGACTTTACAAATTTGTTCAGTCATCTTAATCTAAGATAGGTCTCCACTCTCCAGCCTTCTTTGGCATGATAAAAGGGAGTAAAACCCTTTCCCCTGAGGGGATGGGACTGGTTCTATTGCTCCTAAACAAAGGAGGGAGTGTACCTCTTGACTTAATACAGTCTGGTGAGAAGGGTCCCTGAAGAAGGATGGAGAAGGGGGATGGATGTGGAGGGATGTGAAATGGATGGTGTAGCCCAATGTTATAACATCCATGACCTGTTGTATTATGCTGCCAGGCCTATTGGAAATGGGAAGGGTAGTCTCCTGAAGTGGTGAAGGAGACAAATGGTTGCAGCTTGCAAACTTGAGGTGAGGAAGAAGTCGAGCCCTCAACCAATCTGTCAAAATTATTGTTTTGATAATGACTGGGTACTAGTGAAGGAGGGTAGGAAGTTCTTTTTCTCTGGAATCTGTCTTTTTCTAGCAGGTTCAGTGGCTCTGTGAAAACAAAAGTACTGACTTGAGTGCAATCTCTGGGCAGTCTGAGACCTGCTAAATCTCCTCGTTTGTAGGGGTGTATATATCCAGAGACCTCAACGTAGCCCTGGAGTCCTTCAGTTTTTGCATGGACCCATCCATAGTTCCCAAGCAAAGCTTCTGATCATCAAATGAGAGATCCTCAATCACATTCTGAGACTCTCTCAGGAATCTCGACAACTGTAGCCACGACACCCTGCACATGAGTGCAAGACAAGTAGTAATTCTTCCACTCTACTCAGCACTGATAAGGCCTCAACTTGAGTACTGTGTCCAGTTCTGGATATCACACTTCTGGAAAGATATAGACAAACTGAAGAAAGTCCAAAGGAGAACAAAAATTATTGGAAAACATGACTTATGAGGAAAGATTCAAAAAAACTGGTTTGTTCAGTCTGGAGAAGACTGAGTGGGGACTTCAATATGTAAATGGTTGTTATAAAGATGAGGATGATAAATTGTTCTCCTTAACTACCAAGGACAAGAGAAGTAGTAAAGGCCTTACATTTCAGAAAGGGGGATTTAGGTTAGACATCAGGAAAGCTTCCTAACTGTAAGAGTAGCTAAGCATTGCAACAAATTATCTAGGGAGGTTGTGGCATCTCTGTCATTAGCGGTTTTTAAAAACAGGTTAGCCAAAAAACCTGTCAGGGACGGTCTAGAATAGATAATACTCAGTCCTACCTCAATGCAGGAGATGGGATTAGATGACCTATCAAGGCCCCCTCCAGTTCTACATTTCATTTCTTGGGGTCCATGGCACCCAAGGACACTTGGACAGAGATTTTGGCTAAAAATTCTACTTAATGAGGACCTGGAATTGTTTTCTATGCTCCTGTCGAAGATGTACAATAAAGGATACAAATTTGTTGTAATTCATGTAGTCATACTTGGCCATTGTTGCCTGATAGTTTGCGATCTGAAATCTGAAGGGCCTGGATGAGGAGGCCTCCCATCATGAAGGTTTTACCTTTTCTGGTCCTTGGCATAAGGAGCAGACCTAGAGTAATAATGTCTACCGTGCCTGTCTGCAGCATCCACCACCAGGGAATTAGTTTGGGTGTGGGAAAACAAAAATTCGGAGTCCCCATGGGACGACATAATATTTCTTATATGCCAGTTTACAAGTTGGTGGCAGGAGTTTGCCAAACAGTCTTTGCTGGATCCAGGAGCACTTCATTAATAAGCAACACAATCTGGGTAGGTGTCACTGACTGCAAAATGTTCAGGAGCTTGTGATGTGAGTCTTTAACCTCCTCCAGTGGTATCTGAATGGTGTCTGTAACCCTCTTTGCAAGGTCCTGTAACTGACGGAAATCATCGGCCATCAAAGGTGGCAGAAGTGTGACTGTCTCGTCCGGCAATGAAGACAAAATCGGAAGGAGTAGACTCTTTTCCGCCCTAGCTTCCTGTTCCTCAAAGGTCTCCTTGTGTTGGGGGTTTGCTGGAGAAGACTGTGTGACCCCTAGTTTCCTGGTGTAGTGAAGCCGGAGGTCTTGGACTGCAGCAGAAGGTTGGGTAGAGCACATGTGTGGGTCAAACAGACACTGCTAATAGAAAAATCTCCAATCAAGGGCTTGAGAGGGTCATATGTACCCAAAGTGGAGCGCACATAGTGACCCTACTAAAAGAAGAAGTAGTTTCACCCACTGCCAGTGGTAACCAGTTTAGCAAGTGATTTAATTTCTCAGTGTCAGACCTCTATCCAAGTCTAGACCACTTTTGACGTGCTGAAGATTATTAATTTATCTGTAACCACTGTTTTCTGAAGATAATCAAAATAGATCCCCAACTTTTTAGGCCTACTATTACATGCAAATGAGATGGGAACGCACAAAATTCTAAAGCTATTCATGCAAACAAGTGCTGTTTTATTTCAGTCCCTGCAACGGAACGCAAAAGCTTTACAAG